TTAAAATTGCCTGCGCTTGTCACGTATATTTACAGTCGCATCCAAACTGAGCACATCGCAAAACCAAACGGTATGAACGGGGGTTTAATGCCTAAATGTGTTCAAACACGCCTCGTAGGATTTGCCCTCCCTTTATGTACATTCAGTAGTACCACGCGTGTGCGTAACTTATAAGAGGCTTGTGTTTTTGTTTTAGCAAGATGAACATAATGAAAAGATTTGGAGTAAAAATAAGACATTCGAGTACCAGCATAATGTTGAAGAAATAGCGTGTCCAATAATTCACATTACCCCGTTTTTAGTCTATCTGCGCATGACCATGACTGTATTATCACCACATATGATTAAGGATTCCCGAGAGAATCCGAAACGTCAGGAAAATAAAATCCTTGTTCCAGTGATCGCATCTTCTTCTTCTGAACTGCTGCCTGGAACTCGTATATTCTTCTCTATTGGTAATAAGTGAACCATTGGGCAATTAGGAGTTAAACTGGGCTGCCATTTATTGTGCTTAACGCTTTGCTAGTAGAACCACGTGTTCGGTTCCCATTGGCTGCAGTGGAAAACATTAAAATTCACATGCACATTTCATCCAGCGATCTGATAAATTGCTGGCTATGATAGGGGTGATGCGTTCTGTACGAGAGTTCGCGCCTAGTGCACCCGCAAGCGGTTTGGCGACAATCAGTAGTTCGCAATAGCAAACATTTTGCTAAGGAAGTCGTATATGGCCCCTTAACAGGAAATGAGAGCTTGAACCACCCGCAATACAGGCGTTGCTGCGCCACATTCCAAACAAAATAGAGTTAGATTTATGGCTAGTGTTAAGGTTAGCGTTATGTAATCTGGGGTTTATATTAGGGTTATTGTTAACTGTGGATTCAGGGTTTATTGTAGGGTAAGGTTTAAGATTAGGACGGTGGTTTAGGTTAATGTTAGGGCTTATGGAAGAGGTGGGACAATAAAATATTTAACTTCCCCGGAAGTATGCATAGAACTGCCCTTATTACTTCGGCAGCGCATTCTTATGTCCGCGTCTTGTTAAAGGCGCCATATAAGTGATACTTAACAGATTTTTCGTAGAAGAAGTTGAGGGACTGGACTGCTCATTTCTAGCTTACTTACCATGGGTAGGCGTCCACAATCGCATTCAAATTTCATGGAGTTTATGATTCAAACCATGATCCAATTGGTGGTTGAGTGTATCACTACGATTGCAGCCATTTCCAGGCCGTGTCTCCTAACTGATTTTACCACCAACAGTTGTTAACGATGGCCATACTTGTATGTGCTGGTTAATGTAAAGCCAACGACGTACTCGAAGCATTTAGAGAAAATGCCTCGTCTGCACTGAGAAACAGTCACGTGCAAAGCGCTGCTACCGTAGCAGCAGTGCTGCGGAAACACAGTGGATATAATCGCCCACGAATCTG